ACTTCCTGTTTCTCAACAGGCGCCTACAGGAGCCCTGTGGGTGAGAGGGGAGCGCGGCCAGCACTTGCCGAGGGGCGTGGGGGCACAGCTGCCCCTCAGCCCCCTCTGCAGCGTCTTCATTCCATCCTGCTCTACGTAGGAGCACTCAGAGCTTCCTCCTCCCAACGCCTGCCTCTCTCTGGGGTCCTCTCGGCTGCCCCTCCAAGCCTACTGGCCCCTGGCATTGTCCTCCTCCCGGCCACTTAGGGTCCACCCTTTTCCGAAGCTGCTTCTCTGTTGAGCTGCATGTCTAGGTGTGGATGGCGCCTGGTGTATGCACATCTAGTGGACTGGAAGCCCTGCGGGGGTCAGAACCGCTTGGTGGGCGCGGGTCTGCTTTCCACCTGCGTCCCTCGCCACTGCGCGGTGTGCACGGGGCCTGGGCCCAACACCGCACTTGGGAATTCAATTAGGAAGAAGCCCAGCTTAGCGGAGGATATTAGCTCTCTGTGGAAATTACCTAGGAGACTGTCTGTCTGAGAATAGCCCAGATCCAATTAGGGAGACCTGGGCGAAACCTCAGAGGAGCGGATGCTGTTCTGATTGGGACTTGATGGGGGAACTGCCAGGGCCTCTGGGTAGAGGAAAAAGCCAGCATGGGTGATGGCGGCGGGGGGCTTCAGCTGGGCCTGGGGAAGGGCATCCAGAGAGAGGTGCCATCTGGTGCTGGCATCCAGACTAGCCGGGGGAGTCGGTGCACACCAGTGGCCACGCCCCCCAGGGCAGGGGTCGGCCTGTCCCATGGTGGTAGTGGTGGTGGTGGTCATGGTGGTGGTGGTGGTGTGGTCAGATGACAACAGCCATTGAGATCACCCAGCACCGGATCTGGTTCTGATCCGGAGGCCCCCTGGAGAGAGGTGTCCACCTGGGTCTCTGGGGACTGCGTCTCTGTCCATCAGGAAGCTGGCATTCGGCTTCCTACCTTGCTTCTTGTGTTATCCGGTTCGTATTGATGGACCGGTCAGTCCGTGCTATGCAGACATCAGCTGATGTCCAGGTGCTGGGCCGTGCTCCCTGGCCTGGGTGACCTTCTGACACTTGCTGTTTCCACTGGGTCCCTGGAGGCAGGCCCGTGGCCTGATGCCTGAGTGCACGAGACCCAGCCCCAGAGCTTGGTCTCGGAAAGGGGTGGGGGGAAGGCGCAGGGCCCCAAGGCGCCAGGGCAGGAACGAGCAGGTGCACATTGAGGCAGCATCCGTGCCTCTCCATTCTTAGTCTCGTGTATTTGTCTGGGGCCCCCAGGACAGAAGTTCAGAGAGGTTGCCCAGTGAATGATGGCGGAGCTCAGATTAAACGATATGTTCCTTGCCCTAAGCCCTGCTCTATTAAAAAAAAAAATGTAAGATTTTATTTGTTTGAAAGTTACACAGGGAGAGGTAGAGAAAGAGAGAGAAATCTTTCATCCTCTGGTTCACCCCCCCCCCAAATGGCTGTCAGGCCAAAGCCAGTGAGCAATGGATCCCCCTCATAGGAGGCAGGGACCCAAGCACTGGGGCCGTTTGCTGCTGCTGCCCCAGGTACATCAGCATGGGGCTGGATCAGAAGTGAGGCAGCTGGGACTTGAACAGGCACCCCTGTGGGGTGCCAGGCGTCTCTGGCAGTGGCTTAACCCACTGTGCCAGGAACCCCGCCCTTGGAGAGGAGGGAGCAAAGGCCCAGAAGGGGGCGCTGTGGGCAGGGGCAGGGAGGGGCTGGAGGTGGGCTCTGTTCCAGCAGCGGCTTTGGGAGGCAGACTTGGCAGCTGTGGTCCTCGGCGGAGGATTAAATGGTAGGAAATGAGCTTTGGGGGAATTCCAGTCGTGATGCCTTGATGAGGCGGGAGCTGGCCCAGCGCCCTGCCCAGGAACACCCTGGTGGACCACAGGGAATCACCCCTGCTCCCCAAGAAGCAGCGGTGAGGCTGCCTGGCCCCCGACACTAGCACGAGGGGGCTCGGAGCTTTCTCCAGCACTGGGCACTGCGTCTCTCCCAGCTGGTGCCTGCGCGCCCCTGGGGCTGCTCCCATCTCCCTGCGGCTGCTCCTCCTTCTTCCATGTTCTGGGGTCCTGGTGCTTTACTTAAGGGGCCCAGAGGTGGAAGCAAGAGTTGATGGAGGCCTGGGGCAGAGACGGGGACGAGGGGCAGAGGGCGAGGCAGAAGCGCGGGCCCGTGTCTGCGTGCAGGCCCCCAGGCTGGGCTCTCTGCCTGCCACTGCCACACTGGCAGGAGATGCCCTTTGCTGGAGCTCACTCCCCAGCACTCACTCCTTCCCCTCGAGACCACGTGGTGCCTCCCAGGACACCAAGAGGGTCACACTCATCACTCTGCTGCAAGTTTCCTGGTGCCCGAGGGGGAGCCCAAGTGCGGGGGAGGCCCTGCTCACCCTACAAGTCCAGGACTGCAGGTGGAGGGCAGGGAGGGCCCCGCCATGGCCCTGGTCCAAAGCCGGGAGCCAGGACCTCAATCCAGGTCGCCCACGTGGGTGACAGGAACCTGAGCCTCACCTGCTACATCCCCGGGTCTGCATCAGCTGGAATCGGCCTGGCTCCCTCCACCTCACCCCCAACCCTGTCCTCTCTCTGTCCCAGGGCCCTGCCAACCCTTGTTCTCCTACAAGGAAGACGATCTTCCCCACACGGAAGAAGCCACAACACAGAAAAATATTGACCAGAACAGGCTCAGTGGAGCATGGCTTCCCCGAATGGCCTGGTGCACAGCCCTCGTCAGGGTGTGGTGAAGTTGGCCCAGGTTGGCCGTGGCTGGCTTTGGCCTCTGTCCAGTGACACGTGCCCAGCTCCTGGTGATCTTGCACAAGTACCCTAAGTCTCACCTCATCGTCCTCGGCTTTTTTTTTTTTTTTTTTTTTGACAGGCAGAGTGGACAGAGAGAGAGTGAGAGAGAGAGAGAAAGGTCTTCCTTTGCCGTTGGTTCACCCTCCAATGGCTGCTGCGGCTGGCGCACCACGCTGATCCGATGGCAGGAGCCAGTGCTTCTCCTGGTCTCCCATGGGGTGCAGGGTCCAAGCACTTGGGCCATCCTCCACTGCACTCCCTGGCCACAGCAGAGAGCTGGCCTGGAAGAGGGGTAACAGGGACAGAATCCGGCGCCCCGACTGGGACTAGAACCCAGTGTGCCGGTGCCGCAAGGTGGAGGATTAGCCTAGTGAGCCGCGGCGCCGGCCGTCCTCGGCTTTCAAACAGGGCTTATAGTAATGCCCCCTTGCCCCAGGGGAACCACTGCCTTCCCAGGATGCATTGTCAGGATGCTGGGATCAGAAGCAGATCCGGGACTGGAACCCAGGCAGTCCCCTATGGGACGTGCGGGTCGCAAGCAGAGTCTTCACGCGCTGCGTCACAACCCCCAGCCCAGGCTGCTTTCTCCCGATGAGCTGACAGACTGTCCCTAACCTGCTACTCGGGTTTTGGGAAATTTCCCAATGAGAAGAGATGCTTTCTGAGTTGAGTCCTTGAGCACCAACAAGCCCAGTGAGCCCCATTCCCAGCCCCCAGGAGCAGAGCAGGACGCTGTGACCATCTGTGCAGCCTGTGCCCAGCCTGTGACACATCCCGCCTTCGCCACCCCTACGCGGGGGCCCCTGCTGCTCTCGCTGGGAGGCCGGCCTGACCCGGGAAAGACGGTGCCGAGGGGAGAGGCCTCTTGCAGCACCCAAGGCGGTTCCCTAGGGCTATGGCGAAGGAGGCAGCCCCCAGGTCTCAGGGAGGAAGCGTGGCCACATGGCTGGGAACATGAGGCCCTCGTGTGTCTGACCGCAGAGGCGGACGCTCCGCCTTGGGGTTTAGAGCTGGGAACAGGCTGTTCTCCGCCAGTCACCGCTCACATGGACGGAGGCCTGCTCCCCTGCCACCCAGCCCCCTCGGCTGCTGAGTCACGCTCAGAGGCGCCCGGCCTGAGCAGGCTGAGTCATCCCATGATGAATGCGGAATTCTTGCTCAGGCTGTCACCACAGCCGCGGAGGGCGCTGCGTGCTGGCCCAGCCATTCAAAGCACTCCCTCCTCGGCTGTCACCCCCCCTCCATCTCGGGGGCTCAGCGAACAGCAGTGGGGTGCGTGGGGCCTGGGATGGGGGGGTGTGGTGACAGTAGAGGAGGAAGCCCGAATTTCACGTCGTTCACCCTGTTTTTACAAACAGGAGGACAGAGTCGAGCCAGGTGTGGTTTGAGCTCAGAGCGGTCTGGGAGGACGGAGGGGCAGCTGATTAACGCTGGGAAGGGGAGCTTTGGCGTTAAACCCTAACCTGGATCTTCTCCCCGGCAAGCGGTGCCCGGCCTCAGCTTCGCTGTCTGTGAAATCAAGGGGTGGTCCCTACTTTGTAGCGGTTGGGGTTCTGGGAGCGGCTGGGGCCGACACTCAGTTGCTGGGATTTGACCCTTTGTATTTGACCAGGAGGCCACAGCCCAAGGGCTTTCCTCTTCCAGCTCAGGGAAGCTCAGAAGGGAGATGGAGGAGGCTGCTTGAGACTTGGGCAGGGGAGTGGCTTGGGCTCCGGTGCCCCCAGCCCTGCAGGGAGGACGCATGCTGGGTGGAGGCCACAGATGCTGTCCTGGCTCCTGCAAACCAGAAAACTGGCAAAGACCAATGTGGTGGGCACAGCCAACCCTCTGTCCACCCTCACCCACACCCTCTGCGTCACACCCCTGCCTCCCTACCTGTGGGCACAGCCACCCTCTTCCGTGCCCCCTCACCCACAGCCTGTAGGGGACGCCCCCACCCATGGGCACAGGCAGGTACCTGCTGGCCCCAAAGGTGCACATCTCTGCCCAGAGGCCCTGCAGGAGGGAGTGGCCAACAGGACAGGGTGGTAGCACAGATGGGGGACCGGCTGCTCTTGTTCCTGTCCCCAAGAAATGTGTGTGGCCATCCTGGAGTCGCCACTGGGTGGCCATGGAGCGCTGATTCTCACTGTCAAATAGGCCTGAGTGACTGAGGGGCCACCTACCCACAAAGCCATCTGAGACAAGGTGTGACGTTTCCAAAAAGAGCTTTATTCAGAAACAGAGGAAAGATGTAAAATACAAAGAGATACATTCACAGCTCACAGCTTCCCCATGGCAACCAGAGAGGCGGGCTGGGCGGACGCCACGAACACACCGGTGACCAAGCCTCGGTCGGCCAGGTTGTCCGCAAGCCTCCCTCTCCTCTCTTTCTGCCCAGGCCCCCTCTCTAGTCCCCAAGATTCCTCACCCAGCCCTCGGGTGAGGTCTTGCACGCCCTCTGGCATCTTCCCTAGCAAACCTATTTCTTCGGTCCCATCCTGATCCGTTTAATTAAACTGTAGTCATGAGCCCGCTGGGCGGGCTGGATCCGACACCTGCTCCCAAGTTACCTGTTGTCCCAAGCCTGCACCCGGACGTGGCTCTCCCCTGGAGAGAGCATCTCCCTGTGTGCTGCCTGCCCCAGCTGGTCCAACACGGCTTCCTCCCCAACACAGAAGCCTGTACCTCCATCTCATGTTCCCAGCCGGCCCGCTAGGGAAGAGACAAATCAAATCCACAAAGGTCATCAAGCGCACCCATTTCCCCTGAAGGCTTCTGGCTTCTCTCTCGGACTTCCGCCTCTGTGGAATTTTATCTCTGTAGATTTAGGCTATGACGTCACAGACACAGTAATAATAAGACGAGTGAAAGGAGAGCTATTCCCTCCTGAAAACTGCTTCTCAGAACTATCAAAAGCTTGGGCCTCGCTTGCCATTTTAATTTTTTTTTTCTAAAAGCTAGAGTTCTTGGTCCTGAATTAGTCGTCTGACTCTCAGCTGGCTTCTAGGAATGGCATTGAGTCCCGGCAAGCTGGCCCTTGGTCCCTTCTGTTTCTGCAATGCCCATCGTGTCCTTGCCTGTGGCTCCTGCAGGTGGCTGCAGGGAGGTTTCCAAGTAGCGCACACTTGACAGCCCCACTCGAGCTCACAGGGATGGAGGGCAGGCCTGGTGGATACTAATTATTCCCATGTCACAGACGCACACGGGGAGGCTCAGAGGGGGTTAAGGGATAAAGGAAAGAGCCAGCATGCAACCCAGGTCTCTGCTACCTTCCTCGTTTCCTGCTTTTCCACACAAAGACTAGGAAAGAGGTTTTTCCATTCCCTTCCTCCCTACCCCAGGGACATGCTCCTTCCACCAGGCCCTGCCCAACCTGGACTTGTCATTGTCCCCCGTGGGGTAGGGGAGGGCTTGTGTCTTTCCAGATTTCTTAACACCTGTGGCTTAACCCGGGACGTCTCCCTCGGTGCCGGGCGGCACTTCCTGTGGGATTCACCAGGAGTCGCAGGTCACGGTTAAGGTGCTGGCTCGACACTACCAGCTACCTTTCCCATATTACCAGGGTTCTGGGCCTTCCTACCTCATTAGGAAGAACATTTGGGATTTCCCTCATCTCCCAGCACGCCCCGGGAGGCCCCCTGGCTGCCCCACCTGCGCACTTCTCCTGCACCCAGGCGACACCTCATTCCTGAAGATCTTTGCTACTGCTTTGTTTCTTGGCTGGGCCACGCGGCTGGAGCCATTTCCCCAGCCAGGCCCTCTGCCCATGGTTCCTACACAGCTCTGGCGACCTGCTGCCCCAACCCAACGGTGCATGGCCCCCACAGGCCATGTCTCCCCCCAATACACCCCAATCTCACCTCTCTGGTGTGGAGCCCCGGGTCGGGGGGCAACTGGTAGACCATGTCCACATCGCCACAAGCTGAGGTTTTGGACCACTTGGCTGGCTGGGACAATGGCGGCTGAGACAGGCTAGCTCCTACCACCGTCTCGTCCTGTTCCTGATACTAACTCAGTTCACAGGCATTTGCTAAATTCCTGCCATGAGCTACCACTAAGCCAGCTCTGCAGGGAGAGAGTTGCAACAAAAACAGACATGGTCCCCAGCCTCATGCAACCTAGTCCTAGGCACGTCGGCTTTGCAGAACCAGCCCTTGGTTCCCAGTGGTCCAACATCAACGTGATTCCCCCTGCCTTCTGGGGGTCCCGCACCAGGGGACCACACGGCCCTACCCACACAAGCCCTTGCCTACCTGCAGAGCCCCGCCCAGCTGGGACTGCCTTCCCCAGGCCCCCCGTCTCCTCTCAGAAAGGGCAATGCCATTTGTGCTAACGGACACATTGACTCCCAACTCCAATAGCTACTCCCGAATGGTGTTAAAGAGGTGCATTTTCATAAATATTGGAGCATGTACATTACCCCGTGGCTAATCATCACTGCGGTAGAAATATGCAGGTCTGAATCAAAGCACTAAAGAACTCCAAAGGGCCCCAATCCCCCCCTAATCACTATGTACAGAGCCGGAACCTGCTTCCACTCCGCCACGAGTCAGACATACTTTTACCCTGTTATCACAGTGTGATGGTTATTCCAGATTCTCACTCTCTCTCTCTCTTTCTTATGACTGCATCACACAACTATGTCTTGCAAATAGTCCTCAGACTGTCATGTACAAAGACAGTAGCTCCTTCTCCCAAAAACCGCAATGTACTTAGCTATCACCCCACATTGGGGCAATTCCAGTTACTGACTTGTAATATACCAGGTGGTCACTGGCTGTCACTATGCAACTTTCTTTTTTTGAGTTTATTTTCCCAGAATATATTTCCCCAAAGTGAGATAAGGCATTCCTACATTTTTTTGACACTTGTCAAGTATTGGCAAATTCCTCTCCCTCACATATCATGTTACACAGTGCCAAGAGCCTACGGATTTCTCCACAGCATTTTTGAAAGCTTACTTTTGAGGAATGCAAGTGGCTTCACTTTGCTCGCATCTGGCTGCAGCCTGCCCATGTGTGTTTCTTTCCAGCCGGCCCACGGGCGGCCCTGCACGTTTCGGAGTCTCGCCGCTCTCCATCATCCAATCAATTCTGCGCAGTTTTCCTCACCGGCTTTTTTTTTTTTTTTTTGAAATCTCCATTATGATGCGCTGTACGTGTGTCTCCCGTCTTTCCCTAACTGAGCCTGTCCACTCGGACGGTGCTGCTGTCCCTCAGGGTCTCCACAAACAAGGACAGGCCTCCTACCAAGGATGCCCCCTCTCCTGCCCTGATGCCCTGCCTGCGTCTGAACTCCAAACGCCCCTCACCCCTCCTTCCCCATCCCAATGCTAACATTCGATTCCACCCTCTCGACGGCCATCGCCACCGCTGCCCAGAGAAAGGACCGGGGGTCTCGGCTCACCTCCCACTGGCTCCATTCCCGCCGCACTGCTTTCCCAGCGGGCGAGGTTCCCCCTCCCCCCAACGCCACCCCTGGCTCCTAAGATCCTGGGGGGTCCTTCCTTTCCCCTTTAGTTTGGTCAAACCAAAGCCAACCTTTCCCAAAAGGAATTTTGCTGGAAAACAAAGAGGAAATAAAAACTAGACTCCAGGAAACGCAAAGCCATCCAAACGCAAGTGTTGCCCTGTGGAGACGCCACAGCCCTCAGCACGGCGTGGCGGGCTCCCCACTGCTCATACTCAGAACCCCAACTCTGCAGGGTTCGGCTTCCCTGGGCCTCCTACCCCGGTGCCTGCACCTGCGCTTCACCGGGGAGATGGGGTCATTCCCCGCCAGCTCCACATCTCAGGCCTCTTCTACCCAGTGTGCGCCCGGGCAAGGCTGAGAGGGGCTGGGTTCCCAGCTCCCTTCCCGAATGTGCTGGTCTGGCCTCCCCTCCTGGGCTCCAGGACGCCCTGGCCCAGCTCCCGGGACTCTGCCTCGGCTACTCCACCAGGAATGGTTTTGAATAACACATCGATCGATTCCAGAAACCTGAACTAGACACAGCACTCACCCCGCTCCGCTCCCCTCCCCCTGCTGCTGAGTCGCCGCTTTGGTCCCTGTCCCCAAGCATCTCACCTTGAAAAGCTGCCAGCCCCTGCCCTATGCAAAAACGGGCCCCCTCCTTGGCCACCGCACCCCAAGGGCCACCCTGCTCCCCTCCTGACCTCCCCTGCCCTCCCACCCTAGCCCCGGCCCCGGCCCCAACCCCGACCCCGACCCCGACCCCGACCCCGACCTCTTTAACTGTCGGGAGAACGAACCCGGAAGACATGGATGGTCCCGTTGCTGAGGGACACGACCAGGTACCTGCCGTCCACCATGGTGGTCACGCGGGGCTTTTCCAGGCCGTGGTAGGCCGTGAGGAAGTCGCCAAGAAGGGACCCCTTGGGGTCAAGGATCACCACCTTGTTGATTTCTCGGAGGGTCAGAAAGATGTAGCCCTTCTTGTCCACGGTCAGGGAGCCCGGCTGGCAGCCGTGCAGGCCCGGCCCCCGGTACTCCCCGATTACCTGGCCCAGCCCGTCGCACACCACCACGCTGTTCTGCTGCCAGTCTGAGCCCACGAAGTTGCCCTGGGGGCTGGCGGTGAGGAACACCAGTGCCCGCTGCCCACGGCTGGCCCTGCCCCCGGGGATGAAGCGGGTGGCCAGGCTGCCCTCCATGTTGTACACCTCCACGTGGCCTGCTACACTGACTGCCACCCGGTCCCCGCTGGGCAGCGCAGCCACCGCGTGGCTGGCCTGGGACAGGCTCAGCGCCCGGCGCCACTGCACCTCGCCTTCGGGGCTGATAAGGTAGAGCCGGGCACCAGCAGAGAAGGCCACCACCCCCTGCAGGGCGGCCACACTGCACGGGGAGCAGCCCTCGGGGACAGGCACGGTGCCCTTGTAGTCGCCGTTGAGGGAGAAGCGTTTCAGTGCCCTGTTCTGCTCGTCTGCCACCAGGATCTCCCGCTGGCCGAAGGGGCAGAGCCCGGTGATTCGTGGGGACCTCCGGTCTCCCGGCATGCGCGTGGGGAAGCTGCAGAAGAAGATGGGTCTAGGCAGGAGGCCGGTGCCTTCCAGGTTGGGCCCCGGGGCGGGGCTGGGCTCCCGGGAAATGGACTTGAGCCTGCCCTTAAACTTCCTCTTCTTGTTGGCCCTGGCACCCCTCTCCATGTGGGATTCTCGGTCTCCTTGGGGCGACTGGGCTCTGTCCTCCTTCGGGGTCACCTGGGCTTTCTCTGCTTGGGACACCTTGGCCGTGGTGTCCTCTTTGGGAGCCTGGGAGCCTCCATCTTCCGGGGCTGCCTGGGCTTTTTCCTCTTTCAGGGGCTGGGCCTCGGCCCGGTCCTCTCTAGGGCTCTGGGTTCCGTCCCCTCCCTGGGTGTCAGCACCTGCTCTCTCGTCATCCTCCCGGGGTGGCAGCTCCTCAAAGGAGAGTTGGAGCAGGTGGCAGTCCTTGTCCAGGAGCCCAGGGTGGAGCTCCAGCCGCGGCAGCAGGCATGGGGCTGGCCCAGGGGCCCAGGGACTGTCCTGTAGCTGCCGGAGCCTCTGGGCGATGGCTCCTTCCAGCGACAGGATCTCGGCCTCGCGACCCAGGCTGAGCACCCTGCGGGCAAAGGCGGCGGCCGCCTGGGCCACCTGCTCCCGGCTCTCCAGCTCTGCCAGCCTCTCCCAGGCAGCCTCCTCGGCAGCCTCCACGTGGGCCCGGAGCCGCCCCAGCACCTCCTGCTTCTGGGCCAGCAGGGCCCGGAGGACGCCCTCGGCCGCCTCCTCCACCTGCAGCCCCACCCTGGCCGCCTGCTCCCGCAGCCGGGCCAACGCTTCCTTCTCCGATGCCCGGGCGGCTTCCAGCTCCGCCAGGTTTTTGTCCACGCCCGCCAGGAGCTCCTCGAGGCCTGGCCTGCGGGCGCGCACTGCCTCGGCCAGGGGCAGGCAGGGGTGGTCCAGGTGTGGGTCCAGGCGGCACTCGCGGCACAGCAGCTGCGAGCAGGGCTGGCACAGGAAGCGCAGGGCCTCCCCCGGGTGCTGGGGACACTGGGCAGCCTGGCGCTCCCGGGCCTCCTCGTCATACCAGCCTGCCCTGTAGCCCACCAGGTCCACCACGCGGTGGCTGTGGGTCTGGCGGGTGCAGCGGTGCCCGTCAGCACAGGCTTGGCACAGGTCGTCGGCGCAGTCCAGGCAGCGGGCCGTGGCCGGCCCCCCGGCGCTGGTGCCCCCGACCAGAGGGCACAGGGCACAGGCTGGCTTGCCTGCCCGCAGGTCTCCCCTGGCTTTCACCAGGTCCAGGAGCCCGTTGACGAAGAAGTTGGTCTTAAAGGCGGCCACGCCGGCGGGCGGCACGGGCACGGTCTCGCGGCACTCGGGGCAGCGGATGTGGCCGCCATCGGCCAGCTGTGCCAGGCAGTCCTGGCAGTAGGTGTGCAGGCAGGGCAGTGTCTTGGGTGCCCGGAGCTGCTCCAGGCAAATTTTGCAGGCCAGGAAGTCGCTGCTCAGGGCCTCCAACAGGGAGGGCGCGGAGCCCTGGGAAACCATTCTGCTGGGAGAAGGGTACGGTCAGGGCCAGAGGGGGCCCCCTCCCCGAGCCCCGCAGGATCCCCAGGCCTGTGGTCTTACCTGACTGGCCAGGAAGGTCCTTTTGGTCCCTGGGGGTCTTGGGCCACTTGTTGTCCAGCTAGGGGAGTCCCCTCCCGCTCCTGAGACACATTCAGTAAATGCTGCTTGCGGAGTGGCGCCTGTGTGCAGGGGGCAAGAGCGAGAAGCCCCTGACTTAGGACCCCCACCCCCACCGCACCTTGGAGCGCCGAGGATCGCACAGGGAGCCAGGCTGCAGGCTAGTGTGCTCCACGCCCTCCCTGCGGGACGAGGTCCTGGGGTCCTGGTGGTTTGGGGGCTGGGGTACCAGGGGCGGGCAGGAAGGACACAGATGCAAGTCTGGTGGACAGAGTGGCTGGGACCCAGGACCCCCGGGGACCTATACACCTGCCCTGGGGGGCATCCCGGATGGTGGGGGCCCCACTTTCTGCCCCGACTTTTTCTGAAATGGATGCAGGCAGAAAGAAGGCGGAGGGGAAGGGCTCCGTGTCTCTGTCCTGCCCTGGCTCTCCTGCCTGGAGTCTCTGCTGGTGAGCACATTCCAGAAACCACTGCAAGCAGGAGCTGCCTGCCCAGCCGGCGGCCTGGGGGCATTTCCCCCTGCGGGGGGCGGGGGAGGGCTCCGGGAGCTGGAGGGGTCTCCTGGGGAAGCCCCTGATCACAGCCTGGGCGGGTGGGGGGAGGCGGCGCTGCTTCCCGACTCCCTTCCAACGCCTTCCGGGCCCCTGGTCCCCTCCCTCCCCTTCCTCTTCCTCTGGCTTGCTCGCTCTCTTGCTCTCTCCATCTCCTTCCTTTTCTCCCCTCACCTCCCCCCTCCCTCCAGTCCAGCCTCCCACCCGGTACCTAGCCAGAGATGAACTTGGGCTCCAGGAGCGAGAGAGACTCCCAGGCCTGAACCCGGTTGTCTGTAGCTGGTTGCCTGCAAGAGAAACAAAACTGAAACTAATTGTACTTGTGGTGCAACTTCCGTCCCTAGCGCCGGACCCGGACTGGCCCCGGCCCAGGCCCCGCCCTCTCCCCCACCCCAGCCGGGAGGCTCTCCCTCGCGGGGGCCCCCACCCCATCAGGGCAGAGCCCCCTGCAGCCGCAGCCGCCAGGTCTGCCTGCCTCACGATTAACCCGCTGGTAAAGTGCGCGCGTCCCACACGCGGAGCTGCCTGAGGGCTCTCCGAGAGTTTACTGGGGGGAAGAAATTGGAGCGAGACAGGGAACCAGCGCCGAGTCTGCGGGCCAGATCTGTAGCTGTGCCACAGTTCCAGCCCTGGGAGAGCTTTGCTGAGTACAGGAAAGGCTACGGGGACCAGAGAGACTTCCTGCAGGAGGCAGCAGCTGAGTTTGGACTTCTAGGGGAATGTGGAGAGGGCGTCCTGGGAACCAGGAGCAGCAGGTGTGTGGGTCCAGAGGAATGCACGCGGGCCTCCCCAGGGGCTTACGTCAGCCGGTGTGAAGGGGGCATCTGAGCAGTAGCAGATAAGGTTAGAGAGGGAGGCAGTGTGTAAGGGAGGCTGCCTCTTAACTTTTTTTTTCTTAAGATTTTCATTTATTTATTTGAGAGGTAAAATTACAACGAGACAGAGACAGAGAGAGAGAGGTCTTCCATCCTCTGGTTGACTCCCCAGATGGCCGCAATGGCAGGAGCTACACCGATCTGAAGCCAGGAGTGCAGGGGCCCAAGGACTTGGGTCATCTTCCACTGCTTTCCCAGACCATAGCAGAGAGCTGGATGGGAAGTGGAGCAGCCAAGGCTTGAACTGGCGCCCATATAGGATGCCGGCACTGCAGGCACAGGTTTAGCCTGCTACACCACAGCACTGGCCTCTCATTTTTTTTTTTTTAAAGATATATATATGAAAGACAGGGTGGCAGAGAGAGAGAGGTCTTCCCCCTGCTGGTCCACTCCCCAAATAGCCACAATGGCCAGCACTGGGCCAGGCTAAAGTCAAAAGCCAGGAACTCCATCCGGGTCTCCCATGTGGGTGCAGGGACCCAAGCCCTTGGACCATCTTCAGCTGCCTTCCCAGGCACATTAGCAGGGAGCTGGGTGGGAAGTGGAGCAGCCGGGACTTGAAGCACTGCTTGTGTGGGATGCCGGTATCACAAGCGTTGGCTTACGCTGCCTCTGCACCACAAGGCTAGCCTCAGCTGTGTTTTATTGAAAAGGCCAACATAACCCCTGAAAGGCGTTTTCTCCAGCATTTTAAAGAAGTTGACAACACTGCCCTGCATTCTTGTACCCCACCATCTAGGCAGCCGCGGCGCTTCCGCGAGTGCGTCCTTCAGCCACCTGACGGGGTAAGGGCTCACTCTCCAACAGCAGCCGGAACACAGACTGCTGGGCCCAGGCAAAAATGGAGCAGCTGAGACAGCGCCAGAGAAAGGGGTGGAAATCTGCAAGAGAGAGGGAGTCCCAGGACCCACGGCTAGGAAAGCCGCCCTTCCCGGTGCAGGGTGGGGGAGGGCGTGGTCAGCTGCTGGATGCCCCAGGCCAGGCGCTCACCCAAGCTGAGGTTGGAAAAACGTACCGATGGCCCCCAACTTACGATGGCTTGACTATGCATTTTTTTTTTTTTTTTTGGACAGGCAGAGTGGACAGTGAGAGAGAGAGACAGAGAGAAAGGTCTTCCTTTGCCGTTGGTTCACCCTCCAATGGCCGCCACGGCTGGCGCACTGTGGCTGGCACACCGCGCTGATCTGAAGGCAGGAGCCAGGTGCTTCTCCTGGTCTCCCATGGGGTGCAGGACCCAAGCACCTGGGCCATCCTCCACTGCACTCCCTGGCCACAGCAGAGAGCTGGCCTGGAAGAGGGGCAACCGGGACAGAATCCAGCGCCCCGACCGGGATTAGAACCCGGTGTGCCAGCGCCGCAAGGTGGAGGATTAGCCTAGTGAGCCGCGGCGCCAGTGACTATGCATTTTTTAAAATTGTTGATTTAGTTGAAAGGCATAGAGGCAGACAGACGAGACAGACAGACAGCACTTCCCTCTTCTGGGGTTCACTCCCCCAGTGCCCACAACAGCTGAGGCTGGGCTGCACTGAAGCCAGGAGGCTCAAACTCCTTCTGGGTCTCCCACGTGGGTGGCAGGGCCCACCTCTCAGAGCCACCACCTGCTGCCTCCCAGGCTGTGCATCAGCAGGAAGCTGGAGTGTGGCGTGGAACTGGGACCCCAACCCAGGCCCTCAGTTGCCCCAAGCATTGGCTCAGCTGCTGCGCCCAGCGCCTGCCCCGCACTTGCACCTGGTCTGCACCCCAGTGGTGTTTGATGGTCATAAGCGTTCAGTAGAGATGCGACCTTGGGTTTGCAATGTGGCCCGATCCTTCTCTTGCCATATTGGGCCATGGCCCCGAGCCACATGCTCCCCTGGCCCCACGGTGGGCTACCCCACGGGTTCCCAACACGTCTGAAGCAGGCCAGGCTGGGTGACCATGGCCAGTGGGTTCGGTACACTCAAAGCATGGGGGTGATCAACCCACAGCATCTCCTAAGTAACCGTAGGCTTTTGGGGACGCGGCCCCATCCCAAGGGGAGGGTTGCGGCTTCCTCTGCGATGGGGTTGCCGAGTGCCTGCTGCCGACACGTAGAAATAGGCAGAGATGAAATTCTGCCAGAGTTGATGAGCTGGCAGTGAGAGGGAGGGGGGCATGGATGTGTTGTCATGTGAGATACTGAGACACATGGCATGCTAAGGCCTCAAAGAAATCACCCCTGTCGCTCCCCCTCTTCACGGAGGAACAACACAGGACCCTGCGCTGTTCTTTTGTCTGCTCGGCCCTCCCTGGGTTTGCTGCTGGTTCTTCCCGGGTTGGCTACCGACCCTTCCACCTCCGTGGAAGGGCGGTTCCCCCTGCCACTTTCCCCACTTCCGCGGGGGAGCGGCACACCGCCGGCCTGCTCTCTCGGGGGCTGCACGGGTGTTCCTTCAGATAGATGTTCCTCGTGCATGTTGTCTCTCTCCTCCTCTATAGTCCTCCTCCACCAATCCCAACTCTGCTACCCACACGCCGAGTACGCTGCTCTCCTCCAATCAGGAGCAGGTCCTGCTGCTTATTGGTTGAATTGGAGGCAGCTGCGTAGAAGCTGTTTCCTCCTCTCCCAGCGCCATATTGTGGGAGAGCAGATGCATAGAATAAGTCTTAATTCCAGTAACAGTCTAGTCCGGGTTGCTCCCCACAACCCCAGTGTTAGCTGTGTTTTATATATATATAGATAGATAGATAGATAGATAGATAGATAGATAGATAGATATAGATATAGATATAGATATATAGATATATAGATATACTTAATTACTTAAAGGCATAGCTGGGCCAACCTGAAGCCAGGAGCCAGGAGCTTCTTCCAGGTCTCCCATGCAGGTGCAGGGGCCCAAGGACTTGGGCCATCTTCCACTGCTCTCCCAGGCCATGAGCAGGGAGCTGGATTGGAAATGGAGCAGCCAGGACTCGAACCCAGCACCCATATGGGATGCCGGTACTGCAGGCAGTGGCTTAACCCATTGTGCCACAGCGCCCGCCCCACCCCTCAGGGTCAGTTTTATTGGGGTTCACAGTAAGCTCAGTGTGCAAGTCATAAGCACAACCCCCCGTCATCCTCACAGTGGCCTGGTGAGACAGTGGCAACATCGCCTTCACTTCACATGTGAGGGAAGTCTTCCATCTCCCCCAAGAATCTGGAAGGCTTCTTGGAAGAGGCGGCCCTTCGTGCCCCTCCCCCAACATGAAACAATTGCTTCAAAGACCCACAATGTGCTCCAGGCCCCACGGACGTTACCATGGAGACAGAAGCAGCTAGCGAGCACCGTGGCCTCCAGGAAGGGGGGGGGGAGCAGGGGGCGACTCCGGGAAAGGCTTCTTAAGGAAGGACCCCAGCGGGGTCCAGGAGGAAGCACCTGGCTGCTGGCTTCAGATCGGCTCTGCGCCGGCCATAGCGGCCATTTGGGGAATGAACCAACAGAAGGAAGACCTTTCTCTCTGTCTCTCTCACTGTCTATAACTACCTGACAAATTAAAAAAAAAAATGAGCAGGGTTCCCACACTTGTGCTTCACACGGGAACTCGTTGGCAGGCTGCACCGGTCAGGGAATAATGACAAGAACCAGCGTCCACGCAGCCATCCGCGGCCTCACTGCATTTTCCATGGGTGAACCTGTGAACACAGAGCCCCCCAGAATTCCAAGGGCTGACTGTAACTGAGTTTGTTTTTTTTTTAAAAAAGATTTTATTTATTTATTTATTTATTTGAGAGGTAGAGTTACAGACAGTGAGAGAGAGAGAGAGACAGAGAGAAAGGTCTTCCATCTGTTGGTTCACTCCCCAGATGGCTGCAACAGCCAGAGCTGTGCTGATCTGAAGCCAGGAGCCAGGAGCTTCTTCCGGGTCTCCCACGTGGGTGCAGGGGCTCATCTTCCACTGCTTTCCCAGGCCGCAGCAGAGAGCTGGATCAGACATGGACGTCAGTGTTTGTGCAGAGGTTGTGCTCAACCACTGGAGCCTGTACGGCTTCTGCTCTCTGCCACGTGCCCTGTGTGGGAATGAAGAGCACATTTGGGGTCCGGCTGTACTCAAGTCTCCCCCAGCTTCCTGCTACCAGCTGCTGGCTCTCTCAGGTGTCCCCTGCACAGGCAGGTCTAACGGGACACTCGGTGACAAATGCATCCCAGGCCAGCATGGTTGAACTGCTTCAGGGGCAGGTGTTTGTCCTGTTGGGACAACTGCAACCCACATGGAGGAGCCTGGGTTCAGCTCCTGGCTCCAGCTTCCTGTTGTGCTGGGAGGCAGCAGTGACAGATTAAGTGGCTGGGTTCCTGCCACCATGTGGGAGGCCTGGATGTGAGTTCCCCAGTTCCCAGCATCTGCCTGGGCTGAGTTCTGCCCAATGCAGGCCTTTGGGGAGTGAACCTGCAAATGGGAGCTCCGTCTATCCGTCTGTCTGTCTCTCACAAAATAAGCATATATAAATAAATAGATAGAAAAAGGAACATCCCGTCCTGAAGGTAGCTGTG